TTCACTTCTGGGAAGAAAAGTAAGGAAGTAAATGAATTGTCTAATAGAACAATCAGGGACACAAAAACACTGAATTTGTCAAAAACGAAGCTGAGTGAGTCTGATTCTTAACATAATACAGACAGAGAATTGTATAAAATGTTTCCTAAACAGAAAATAATCTGCTCAGAGTTCATCCAAACCACTCGTTTTACACAGACTTCTTGCAGTTACTGAGTTCACTGTTGAATGTAAAATTAAATATAGGGGGGGACCCTTAAGGAAAAAGGTTGGGAACCACTGCTGTACAGTATGATATTCAGGTATAGTATAGTAAGTGGAAAGCAGAGCCAGATTATAGGGAGTTACAAAAATATGGTAATATATATATTGGAAGCTATTAGGGAAGGTTTTATATTATATTTCCTGCTGTGGTCAGAAAACTCAACCAAAGAACATATTTTCCGAACTGAATAAAAAAAATTCCAACACAATCTGCATATTACAAAAGCAGAAGCGAACATACTGTAGGTGATATTCACAAAGAGTCCAGTCCACCTTAAAACGCAGCTCTGACAGACTGTACATACACATTTCCTGAAAACGCCCCGTGCAAGAGAAAAGCAGCGAACTCCAGTGACTCTGAATTATAATAACAAGGCTGCGCTGTTTATCCAGAGGTGGGGGTTGGACATAGGCTCAATCATACGCCAAACTTTTTCGAAGTCTCCCTTTCCTCCCCCCAGGTCTCAGAGCTGAGCAGCATTCGGTCTACGGGCTCACTCTCGCCGCACCGCCGACCAAGGTCAGTGGCAGTGACCGCCCACGGGAGTTGTCAGCGGGGCAGCAAACCCGCGCGGACCCCGGCTGTTTTTTTTTTGTTGTTTTTTTTAACATGGGACTTTGACTCACTGGCTGAACAAACTACGGACCGCCGACTGTCTGTCGCCGTATGGAAGGAAGAAGCCTCTGTAGCGAAGGAGTGAATGAGCCGCACAAACATTAGCCTAACGTCAAGTTTTTGAGCATTAAACGAAGTGACACCATGTTGGGAAACTCTTACGCTAACAAGAAGAGGAAGAAGCCTGCTCCCAGACAGTAAGACATGTCTTTCTGAACACAGTGATGATTTAAGAGCTTTAATCTTTACTTTATACACTTGTGGTTATTCTTATATGAGAAACTTGCTGTCTTTATTAAAGATAAAGTTTTCCCATTGACTAGAAAATGCGCCACCTGCGAAAGCCTAACTAATGCTCTGCGCTATAAGTTATAGAAGGTGAGCACAAACTAGAGAGAAAATGGAGATAAACCGACCGATGTCAAGTTTATAGAGGTATATAACTCAAAAGCAACCTTCGCCAGAATAACGAGTGACTCCCGGCTGTGTGGGTTTGTGTTCGGGGTTACGGTCTGGGTTTGGTTCTGCGCTTTCAGTGGACTACCTTAAGAATGTGTCTAGCTCTTGGATCTGGCATGGATATCTTGCCCTCGCGCATTAATCACAATCAAGTTGGAGAGTCGGCTGCTGCTCTCACGCGATGCTCCGAGGAGGGCGGGGGGGCGGAGGGAGGCGAGGGCTCGCGGGCTCCGAGTATGTTATTGTAATCTGATACGGCCTCGCGCTTCATGGTTTTGGGATCAGTGCTGGCTGTGTGATGTGTGTGCTGTTCCTCTGCCCCCCCCAACCAGCAGCAGCAAACCGGGACTGGACAGTTAGTTAGGAGTACCAGTAACAGCAGCAGAGGCTCAGACACTGGCTCTCTCCAGTGTTGATGTGACAACATACAGCAGCATTTTAATGTTGGAGCTGGTCCAGGGTCAGTCTGACTACTGCATTACCGCACTATTTTGAGGGACTCTCTTGTTGTGGGGTTGCAACAAGTGTTGAATACTGGTTTTGTTTATTAAGTATCAGAATACCTATCTTTAAATACTTGTGATAAACCCACTGTACGCTACCTGTGGAGCAGCAAGACCCAGCCCCAGGCAGAGAGCGGGCCTTTGAAGCCAGTTTGACATGGTGGCCAGACCGTGGAACTACAGGAGTGACGTCCATCACGATGCACACTGGCCTGAAAAGACTTTCCCATGGGGCTACATTGTGAAAGGATGGGCCGTACTACAGTGGAGGTTTTTTTCCGAGCTTTTCAACCCCAAAAATGATTAATATATCAACCAAGTAAGTTAGCCAGCTCGGCATCCTCTATGGCCACTGTGGCCGTTCGTGCAGGTCATTTTTTTGTAGCGGTGAGTGGCTTTTTGCGCCTCTGAGCAGCTTTTATAGGAGTGAACGGAGAGCTGCCTCCAACGCTGCATCCAGTTCTCTTCATACCTCCATGGGTCACACAGGCAGTCAGCAACCGGCCGGTGAACACAGTGGAGCATTTAGTTCCTGAAAAGCTGAGTCTTTTTCTCAAGAGTTGGTGGAGACCAAAAATAGAGTGGTGTCAGCTGACCCAGAGTTTCATGCTTAAAGACCCCCTCCAGACATGTATTAAGACATATACAAATTGTCTGCTCGAAACTATAATATGTGTTTTTTACTCACAAAACAGTATCATTTCCACATTACCCAGTCCTCTCCTCCCTCCCCCTCTTTAAACCTTCCACAATCTCTGAATATGTAAATGTTGATTTCTGAAGTTTTGCTGCTGGACACAAAATGTCTCTCTCCTGCGATTGCTTCTAACTTGATCTCTTTTAATACAGGCATTAACAATAGACAACAGGTTGTTGGTTTGTTTACATAGTGAGTAATGTAAACACGTGGCCGTTGTAACACTCTTAATAACTGATTTGAAATCATATTGTATAACACAGATGCACTACGAGTCAACAGAGTGTCGTGTGGATGCATCTGTTCATCGTGATCTGTTCCCAGTGTCAATCCCAAAATAAAAAGGTGGCCTGTGTGCAGACGTCTGTGTTTCTGGAGATGTGGGGCTGTGCAGTGAGGACTGAGGTTTCCTGGACGGCCAGCTGGGCTCAGCTGCACAAAGGCATCATTGAGCCCGACTGTAAAACGCTGTGGTCACTACACAGGGGCATTCCATGGCAGATCTGCCCATCCAAATTCTCTGTTTTATTACCCGGACGCCCTCTGTGCATGTTGCCAGTTTCCTCCGCCATGCATCCTGCTGTATTATTAAAAGTTTATTCGGCGCAGCATTTTGTTTAAAAGAGGACACGTCTTCCACTCGTACAGCTTTTTAGTCCTCCTGCACACAAATGGTTTAAACACTGGGTCATGTGCTTTAACTGCGAATAAAAAAAAAAAAGCAAACGCACAAATTCCAAACTGGTGACCATCATCGTGTCACAGGCCCATGTTTGTACCCCAACTGTAGTCTCCCACAGTGACCAGTGAAGGACGAGAGGCAGCAGGGATTGATTGCAGTGCTTGTGCTGCATGCTCTGTGTGTGTGTGTGTGTGTGTGTGTGAATGTGGATTATGTGGATATTAGATTGAGTTCTACGCCTTAGAGCGCCCCTATTCATTAGTTTTTCATAGGGACAACCTGTGTCACCTATGCCCGTATCGTTTTGCACAGTAATGTAAAGTTATTGTGAGAAACACTTCCAGGCAGACGTCCTGATAAGAGGTTTGGCACAACACCAAAACACTCCCAGTAAGCAACAAAGCTGCCCTTTGTTCTTTGCCCTTTGTTTCATTTTCAAAGAGTCCTCATAAACAGCACACACACGTTTTCAATCTTTATGTAACACTCTTATAGGAATGATGCACATGAGCTTCACATAAAGCCCAAATGACGAGTGTGCAGCTAACAGCTAACAGTATTTTACTGTAAGGTCGTTGTTTATGTTGAAGCTTTGCTCGACTATCAGTTAATGTGTGCATGGTGGAGCAGGGTAAAACAGAGCTCAGGTGGTACAATAGAAGGCCAGTAAGAGTAGGGTTGGAGGTTCGATCCCCGACTGTCCCTAAAGTCCCCTAAAGGAAGACACCAAATTGCTCCTGATGTGTGGGTGTGGAAAGGGTTGTCGCTTTGTACTGAAGTGTCTGCCAAATGAATGCAATGTAAACAAAGGCCGGCTACTCTTTTTTTTTTTTTTCCCAGACCCGCGCTCTTCCAAAAAACCCTTTGCATGCTTGACAACAAGATGGAAGCAACCAGCGTGGTGTGCGACAGAAGAGCGTTACTCAGGCCAGAGATTTCAGCCCCAACCAGTCCCAGAGCGTTTAAACACTTTGGTGCAGACCTGACCTGAAGCCAGTGTTTGACAGCTGGCTGTGAAGAGTTTGTGGCTTGCTCCCTCCCAGAGGATGGTGCTTTCAATGGCCTTCTCACTTCTCATAGAAACCTCTGCATCCACTTCTCTGCTGTATGTATGCACACGTTTCAAACGCTGCTGCACATCCATAGTTTGTGTGTCCAGAAGGTTGCTGAATGCACTCCTGCTGTGTCCCGCTGTTGCCCCTCAACAGCTCTGAAGCTCCTCTGGATTGCATTGTATCTGTTCTTGATTTTTGTGCACATTCGTGCTGCTTCTTTGTATTGTCGTGCGCTGTATGATGCAACTGGAGAGCAGCATTCCCCATATTCTATTTTCTCCCCTGTCTGGAAAGCTCTCTGCAGGCTCCAGCCTGCTTTTGTAAACTATCCTTCTTCCAAAGTTGCAGTCTGTGTTTGTCAGCAGCCAAACGTGTATAGAAAACACGCTTCTCATACTGTTGAGCCACTGAGTCATCCTTTTGGATCTGGCAGATGCTCCACCTACTTCAGCAGACAAATGTATGTCAGTGTCAATATGGCAGGCTCTGAGACAGAGTTGTTTGGGTTCAGATCTCCACTCTTTTGCCCTTGAGATAAGCAGTCCAAATAGAAATGGAGGGATGAGGTAAAACATCCCCCTTTCCAACAATGAACGTCCTGATGTCTGCTGCTCAACCCCGTGATCCATGGCAAATCAAGGTGGAAAAATAGTTCTGAATGCTGGCTTTTGTCTCCACTGGGCATTTCTTGAGAGTGAGATCAGTCCCGCTCCTCTGAGAAGGTACGGCTCGGGTCTGAAGCCAGCAATCAAGTTTAGGCTGCATTCCCTGTGGACTATTCAGTGGCAGAGGAGGACATTTTATAGCCTATCATTAACCACAGTTTCAGTCAAGAGAGAAATGAAGGGAACGGTAGAGACTGTGCAGCCTGAAAGTGCAGCTATGCCGTGGTGATAATTGACCTGGATAAGGTGTTGACGCTGAACGATAATGTGATTAGAATTGGCTCCTCTTCCTAAATATATACAGGGAAACACTCCTCCTGCTTAAGAGGTTATCCATAAGCTCTTACAATACATTGATAGTAATCATGTCTCATCTATTATTGGAATCATATTAGAATGAACCACTACCCTGACACATCAAGCACTATTCACAGGATGTTTATTTATGTATAAGATCCCCTCATCTAAGAAGGCATGAATGTGAGATGCTGTGATCAAATACACATCTATCTCTGTACTGTATTTGTCAGCAGGTGTGTAGTGGAGGAGTGTCAACAGTGGTGTTGTGTGTCGTCCCCATTGCCCCCTTTCACTTGGTCTCACTCCCAGTGTAGCATGTGTGTCTGATTTGTGAGTAATGACATGTATCTCCAGAAAATCCAGTTAGTTTGTATTTTGCACTTGAGCATGGGTGGTCTCGACCACGGCTGCCCCCAAAGTGAAAGTCAGGCAGAGAAAATAAAGCTGCTGTCATGCTAAAAAAGTGGTTTCCATTTTGACAAACTACATAAGCAGCCAATGGAATGACTTGTGGTAGCAATGTTATATTTACGCCACTCTGTTGTTTTCAAGTTAGCCGATAGTTACTGTAGCTAGGTAGTTTTCACTGTTTAACAGTTCCAAAAAGTATCCAGTTTTCCCATATTTTTTGTTGACTAAAAGTCTGAGTTAAACATACAGGCGGGTTCATGTTAGACCATGAACCCGCCATAACATAACATGTTGGCTGACTCAACATATCCTTAGCAGGGCCTTTTATTGATACTAATACCATTACTGATTCTGCCTATCGGTCGGATTCTTTGTGGCTGAATACAGTGTCTTCCTCTCCTCCAGGATTCCTTCTTCTTCTTCTAAGTTCCCAGCAGCATACATTAGTTTGACATCATGCACAACTGTGGGAAAAACATGCTTGCATTGATAAAAAGGAATTTCTTGGTGGCTTAGGATTCTGGTTCTCCACTGGAACCAGTTCCCCATTCCCATCACTCCTCCTTAGCTTGGAGATATTTTGGTGTCTCAACACAGAAGAAGTGAAAATAAGTGCATCGTACTTTTTAATGCTTGGCCTCTAATGCTTCTACGTTACCCAATCTCCACTGGATGTCCCGTTGAGACTAAAGGTTCGATTCCTAGTGCGGTACTTCCAGAATGGTAGTGCAGTTGGAAGGCCCCAGCTGCAGCGCGGTGCTGTGTCATGGGGCCAGGCAGGTCAGTGTGTTGTTGGACTGGTGAGGTTCCACCATCTCAGTCTGTGATCCGTCTCTGTGATACTGTTACTGTGTTCCAGCCTAAATGAGGATCCTGTTTGCAATCAACAACTAGAGCTCTCGTGAGGCTCTGACAGCATTCCTGGATCTGGTGCTCATCACAGGAGCTGGTGTACTGCTGACTCACCTGAACCGCACTGTTTATTAGTTGCATATATGGCTGTCTCTTTTTTTCCCCCCTGAGTAGGTTTGAAGCTGTTGCTAAAGTGAATATGGCTATGAATCACAGTGCACCCCACATCAGACGGCATGCTGTGGCAGGGATCAGTCAACAGAATCACTGCAGATTTAACACTTAGATAACCGGCTCTATTTTTTTCACGCTCCACAGAAAGAAGCCCACTGAAGGTAATGAAGTCGTTAAATCAAACCCTTCGAAGCGCCACAGGGATCGGCTGAACGGGGAGCTGGACCGGCTGACGGACCTCCTGCCCTTTTCTGAGGAGATTCGCTCTCGTCTGGACAAACTGTCGGTCCTTCGCCTCAGCGTGGGATACCTGAGGGTCAAGAGCTACTTCAAAGGTGTGAACCTTAATACCAATACTAGAACCTATAACTGCTAATTTAGAATGAATATAGTTCACTTGCATAGAAATTTAGTTGAGGCATTGTTTCGTAATTGCTTTATATCCATCCTCTTGAGCAATTAAGACTTTAGACTACATGGATTAAGATACGGATTCAAGCTTGGGTAGGGCGGGTTACGAAGAATTAAAGTTTGATGAAGGAAACCAGGCCAGCTCTCGCAATGGTTGGAACAGATTTTTGAGCAATATATGCAAATTTACTGGCACTTGACAGCCAAGGCAGGAATGAGAAGCCTGCAGGAATCTGGTTTTAGGAAACAACACATCCTAAATACCTGTAACCTTACTCCACCCTGTCCATAAGCAACAGCAACAACAGTCAGTTTGAAAAATCAGTATAAGATGTTTTTTTCAAGATTTAAGTCTTCAGTGTATGTTGATAGTCAACATACAGAGTAACAAAAGAGAACATCAATCAGACTTTCTCACGTACAGACCAAGCATTTAGAAAACAAAGCAAAAAGGAAGTTAATTAAACTCGCAGACATCCTCGCTTTGGCTTTGGAGACCTGATGAGTCATGTGTGAGTCAATTATATGTGATTCACACATATAACATCTCCAAGAGCTGCAGATGATAGTGTTCTTTGAGTTACACAGACATTTTAGGTGAGGTGTTGGCAGATGGACGGCTGAGTAAGTTACTGGTGTTGTTAGAGTGTATGTGTCTTGTCTCGGTGCATTTTCTGTGCATTGTTTTGTGATCTTGCAGTTCTACACGTTGCACTAACTCTGTGCTCTCTGTGGACAAAAACCCTGTGGAATCTTGGATGGATTAGTGACTTCTGTGCTAGCCAGCAAAATACAAATGAAATGGCTTAGACTAGTCTAATCTACATAGTGATTGGTATAAAAAAGTTCTAGAAAGGATGTGTTTTCAATAAAAGAATGAAAGGAGTTGCACTGAAGCAGCCGCCTACCTGTGCTCAAACTGTATTCAGGATTGGACATACAGGTATTTCTGTCCTACCAATGTACTACCACTTAGGGTAGTAGTACATAATAGCAGTCATCCTTCTATAATGTATTTAGTGCAACCTAGTAAGCACCTGTTAATATGTTATCAAACAGCTAGCTTTTACAAGAGCCCGCAGTGACAACCCCGTGAAATACTAAAAAAAGAAAATGTAAACAGTCTGTAGCTGCAGACTGTAATTCTCTTGTTAGCCAAGTTGTTTGCAGTGTGAACATCCATTATGAATGGACACGTTAATGCAGTCAGAGGAGTTGTGACATTCCAGTGCTGCTTGTTCTCACACCCTTTTGCCTACTTTTTTTACTGTGCAAGTGAGATAGGTTGAAGTACAGCAGTTGCGCCATCATTTCAGATAGTCGTTTCCATAAACTTTCCACACACATTTACAACTTTATAACCTATGATAAACTTTCCTCCAGCTTTGATTACTTGCTTTAAGTAAGCTTGAAGTGGTAAATCTGTTGATAGAATATGCAGACAGCTCTTTTCTAAGCGTGATTCATGCCGCTGGTGGCTATCAAGAAAGAATGTATAGTATGTGTTTATGAAGAGGAGACTAAAGTTGGTCAGCTTATGTCGTTACGCTTTTGAAAGATACAGTAATCTCTCAGGTACAGAGTTTATCGATCATTCAAATAACCCATAAAAAAGTAGTTTCCATGTAAGGTAGGTTCTGCATGGTTTGCCTCTACTGTAGTATATATGGACAGACGGCATATGTGGATTATCAGTGGAGTCATGTCAAGCTCCTATCAAACACCTGCAGCCAGATGTAAATGACACTAAAACTATGCAAATACCGTCCCTCAAACATAAACTGGTAGTGATAAATGCAGTGAGAATGTGTGCACCTCACACACACTCCTGGTTTCACAGTGCCCGATGAGTACGTGAAAATTAAAGTGAAGATAAGAGACTGAATCTCATGTCTAAGGTTGAATTCCAATGGCGGTACATGTTGCAGTCTCAGCCCTAGACATTTTAATTATGCCAGTGTAAAAGAGAACAATATGTGTACGATGCTTTAGAAATCTGATGCAACGAATAGAGTATAGTATAAAGTTTTGTGCTTGTTGCCTCAGATCCTGTTGTTTATGAGTTCTAGTTTAACAGCTGTCCATGCAAGAACTGCTCTTGGAATTTTCCAGAGCTTTTACCAATCCCAGAATACTGCCCTCCTCATTTATGTCACCCATCCTTCCGCCACAGTGACATTTGCTGACTTTCTCTGCAGCACTGGGTCATCTTCTGTTTCCAATATCACTAAGCCTTCTGAAATGATTTCCCCCCAACCAAAACTATTGACTTTAATTTCACATGGAAAACATTGAATTGCTTTTGATTATGATATGACTTAATATGATTTAATTTTATTGAAAAAACTCCAGTCATTCTCCTCAGGCAGTCGTAGAGGACTTGATGAGCTGCCATTTTTATTGTCCCTCTTTGTGCGGCTGTATACATTGCAGGTATCTCTCAGTGTCTATGCCACTCCTCTTCTCCCTGACACTTCCTTACTACACTCCTACTACGCCTCTCCTTCAGTTCATCAGACATCAGCAGTAATCAGGCACACTGAAAACGGTCTGGGCCCCGTAGCAGCGGAGGGCAAGATCTAAATCACATGTCACATCACACTGCCCATGTGCAACCCATCACCTCATAAATGCTGCTGCTTTGTCACTGTATCTGCACTCACTGTTGACCGCTTTACATGTTTATTTCATTTTGCTACCAGAAACACAGTGTTGATTAAATGTTCTGTTACTCATTCATTTATTCAGATACACATACAACAATCCAGTTATAGCTAATGAGCTGCTTACAGGACCGTTCCTTTAATATTTATGTTTCAGTGCTTGGGAGCAGAGTCTGTGAGTTATTGGCTGAAGACACCCCCTCCACTTCAATATATTTATGGCTTTCTGAGATCAAGACACACCACTCGGTAAATAGCTGCTAGCAGGCTGTTTGCTGGAAGAACAGGAAGTATGTTGTAGCCTCAAGAGCATTAAGGAGTTTGAAGCATGTCAGTAAGAGAACGTCTATGGTATGTTTTCATTCAGCAGTTCACATTGCTGCGGGAAAACTGATAGTCATAGATGGTTCAGTGTGTTCACGGCCCTTTCATGACACTGGCATCTGAGTCATTATGAGCATATTGAGAATACAAGCTGCACCTCACTCGCATTACTGCACTGCCAATTTTACACAGCCTGTGAAAACAGTTGTATAAAGCCTTCTGTGGCTCTGGAGTTCATCAAGTACAATGAAATAATCTGTGCTTCAACCGAACACTTTAGTTACTAACTGGGAACATGCAGTTACAAATATGTTGGCGCTTTCCTGCCAGGGAAAATATGGCATTTTGAGTCATTTAGGCTCACACTTTTTTGAAGCCTGAGCCACACTAGCCATTAAAATGTCAGACCTTAGAGTGTGCTGCTGTCACTATTCTTTCTTCAGTCTCTCTCTTGTGAGCCCACTTTATGGAAATGTAATACTTAATCAATGGACTACACATTTAACTGCATTATGGTTGATGTATGTGAAGGTTGCCTTGGATTACTGATATTCAGACTGACACAGTGATGTGGGTCAAGTTTGGGTCTAGACACATGACAGGCTTCTTCCCTCTTGTGGTGACCAGGGCTGTAAACTGAATAAAATTAGAATGAATTCTTCAACTTTGACTCCTTGAAGAAGTGTGAGAAAGAATGTATGTGTTTGTGCAAAAGAAGTGAAAGGATTCTTAAGCGGTACTAATGTCATGCAAATGTACATTATAAAATAATGGTTTAGTGGTAAATTGTAGCTAACTACACTGCATACTGGAGTCTCTACTAGCAGTAGAATGTAGAGATTAAGTTGTCTATTGGCACTGACACGAATGGGACATGTGATACACCAATAACAATATGCAGTATCGGCCATGCCAACTTTCTTTTTGTGTCTCATGACACTTTACGCCAACTAAGTGTTTTGAAAAGTCCTGCTGAAAGGGATCGTATTTGTACTGATGACATGGCAGTTTGATAAGTGTACAATGGAAGTCAAAAAAGTGTGTTGTTCTTTTTTAGGTGGTATTGGATTGCAGCATCGTGTTTCTCAGTGTTTTGTTTATCTACTTTCAGTAATGTAATCAAGGTGCAGTGAGACAGGTTACTAGTTACTGGTTCCATCCAGAGCCTTGATTTCTCAGACTTGGTTCAGAAATTAGGCTAATTGCAAGATTAGAGATTAGAGGTGATCTTGTTGCAGCTACTCTAATGACAGACAGAACATTAATCCGTTAATCCAGATTTACAATCTATACAAACTAGTAGATGATCTATTGAGCTTTTCAAGAACATAGTTGTTATAGTTATGCTGTTCATTAGGGCTGTGTATTGGCAAGAATCTGGGGATACGATAGGTATCACGATACAGATGTTATCATGATATTGCGCTATATTGCGATACTGTAAGCAAGGCGATATATATTTTAGGAAAAGTTTAATAGTATATTCATAAAATCTGAGTAAAAAAGGTTTACTTTTGTATGCAGCCCATCAATGTTTTCTTACACCCCTACTGTTCAGAAGTTGAATTGATAAATATTATAAATAAAACCCTCATGGCACAGGACTAGTGTTTACTGGAGTCAGTGGTTTGTATAAATTACAGTGCTCATTACGTGTTCAGTACATGTTCAGCACAGAGGTTATTTGATGATATTAGGCCAGTGTAAATAAGCATTAAAGTAATTGGAGGTGCTAGTTTTATGTTTCACAAAGATTTCTTTAAACACTTCATTTGTCCCTGTACTGGTGGAGAATTACTGAGGCTGCTGCTGATTAGATCACACAACTGCTAGAGCTACTTAGTATGGAGACCTGTTTAAGCAAGACTGAAATCATCCAAATAGATAAATGTGGAAAGACTGTGAGATGAGTGTGGCATTTTGATCTTTGAATGTCT